GATTTGATTTCATTTTTAGGATGGGACTACAAGGAAGGACTAGCAGAGTTTACACTTATGGTGCGTTCTGAGGACAGGTACAAATTTTGTACACCCGGAGCAGTCCACCATGCCTGCTTTGTGGCAAAAGGTAGGGAAATGTAGGTTCATAATAAGAAAAAGTTTAAAGTGTAGTAAAATTGTAGCTTCATAGCAAAAATTAAGGAGTTTGTAGTACATTATCAAGTACTAGGCTTTTTAAATTAAAAAAAAAAAATTTTTTTGTATAGGTATCTACTAATTAAAACTCCAGCTTATGATGGATGCAATACCAAGTCTGGCAAAACGACCGAAAAATGTAATTACTGAAGTGGCAACTTCTGTTTTCTATATTACCTGGTTTCTAAAAGCTGAACTACCCACTGTGGTTCCATGTCAGGTAAGTACCAACTTTAACAAGTATGAAATATTTATAAATATATTTCATAAATAAAAAAAGAGCTAACATAGGGATCCTCAACTCTTTAGACTTCAGTGGACCAAAGCCTTCAAACTCAGTTCAACTGGCCATGGAAAATTCATGGCTAATGTTCCTTATGATAGGACTGAGTAAAAGTGACTGTCAATGGATGAAAACCCCTCCAGAATATTGAGCTTGCAACAACTTCAACCTAAAATTTCAGAACGCATTAATCTTTTAGTTGTTAATGATTGCTCTGAAAGAACTGTTAAACTCATAAAAGATAACATTGATATTGCCCAAAAAGAAGAGAAAAGACACGATTCACTTCTATTTTTGCATTATTACAAAAGGAAGAATGGAGGTAAAAGCAAGATATCAAAGAAAAACAAAAAAACAATATAAAAATATAACATAATATTTTTAAAAAATAAAACAATTATAAAGAAACTTGTTAAATAAATGCTAGATGTTTTAAATTGCTAGATGTTTTATGCAATATATCTGGTTTTTTGTTCCAAATGACTTAACATATCTAAAAAGATATTGTATTGTGTAAAAATTGGTAAAAAGTTGCATAAACTTGCAATTTTGTAGATAGATTAACATAAAATTTTTCAGAAAAATAAAATTACCATGCATTTTTATTTTTTTCTTCTAACTAAGAAGAAACTCTGGAAAGTAAAAACAATTGAATTATTTTGAGTTTTAGAACTCGCTTAAGTACTCGCCAAAAATGGGCTTAAAAAAGGGTGAAAAAGTCATATACAAGACAACTGAGGCATTTAAGCAACCCCTAAAAATGTTCTAAATTTAAAAAAAATTTACAAATAGAATAGAGATCTGAGCAGGAGTCCATGGCACTTTAAATTTTTTTATGACCATAAAATGAAGCAGTCTAATGTATATAATATTTTTTTAGTTTAAACTCCTTACAGAATAATCCATAATCTGATTAATCATTTGCATAGGAAATACAGAAAAAATTGTTAATAAAGAAAATAAAAATCAATAAAGATCAATAAAGAAAATCAATAACGAAAATCAATAAAGAAAAATCAATAAAGAAAAATCAATAAAGAAAACTGTTTTATTAAATTCCAAAAGGTTTACAAAAGATTTGCCATTGTTAATACAATGGATTTGTCATATCAACTTTGTTTTGCAACACATTTAGTGGTAGTTGATGTAATTTACAAAAAGAAAGTTGAAAATAATCAGATTTTAAATGAAGAAGATATCTAAAATGATTTTGATGTTTTTGGTTATGAAAATAATAATGACGAAAATGAAATTAGTAACCAAGCTCCTTATCTTGTTCCTAAGTTTAATAAAGTTCTGGTTAAAGTTTGTTAAATTGTTGCAGCTTTTAAAAGATCTCCCTTGAAAATAGATACTTTGAAACATCATTCTAAAAGTGAATTTAGACTATTCTAAAAGTTAATTTAGACAAAAGGTAGTACTTATTTTAGATTCAAAAACATGTTGGAATTCAATGCTGGCCATGATTCAAAGGTTTATTAAAGATAAAAAAGCAGTTCCTAAATCTCTGGTGGATTTCAGTTTTGAAAAACTCAAGTTGTCTGATGATGAGCTGAAAGTAGTTGAAAGTTTAGCAAAAAGTGTTAATCCAATTGTTTTAGGTTCTGAAAGGATTTGTAGATAAGGAAAGCAACATTATTAACAACATTTGTAGGTAAGGAAAGCAACATTATTAACAACATTTGTAGGTAAGGAAAGCAACATTATTAACAACATTTGTAGGTAAGAAAAGCAACATTATTAACAACATTTGTAGGTAAGAAAAGCAACATTATTAACAACATTTGTAGGTAAGGAAAGCAACATTATTAACAACATTTGTAGGTAAGGAAAGCAACATTATTAACAGCATTTGTACGTAAGGAAAGCAACATTATTAACAACGTTTGTAGGTAAGGAAAGAAAACATTATTAACAACATTTGTAGGTAAGGAAAGCAACATTATTAACAGCATTTGTAGATAAGGAAAGCAACATTATTAACAACATTTGTAGGTAAGGAAAGCAACATTATTAACAACATTTGTAGGTAAGGAAAGCAACATTATTAACAACATTTGTAGGTAAGGAAAGCAACATTATTAACAACATTTGTAGATAAGGAAAGCAACATTATTAACAACATTTGTAGGTAAGGAAAGCAACATTATTAACAACATTTGTAGGTAAGAAAAGCAAAATTCTTAACGCATTAAAAATTATTATTAAAGAGCAACAAGAATGCTATTTAGCAAATAATCTCTAGTTGAAATAAATATATATATATATATATATATATATATATAAATATATAGTTGAAAGGATATGTCAAAGAAGGAAATGTGATCTTGTTGGTTTATTATAGTTTTTAGAAAATCCAAAGTCTTTAAAAAGTGTTATGTATAATAACTTATTTTCCATATCTAAAACAGAGATGATAAATATAGCTATTAAATTGAATGAGAGACTTTTCCCCATATTTGAAAATATACCAAAAGTACAAGATAAAATTAATGATAATAATAACCTTAACATGCACTGGTTTTTCTAAAAAGTCCCTTTAAATATAGTTTTAAAAATAAAGTAAAAAGAAAAAATATATATATTTGTTTGTTTTTTATTTTCATGTAGGTTACCAGGATCCCAGGAACACTGTGGATGATTCCCGCTATCCCAGAATAGCAAAGAGTTCCAGAATATGCTATCCCTACTTACAAATTGTAGTAGAAAAGTTGTCCTCGATGGACAATACTTTTCTATATTTCCTGTAACTTTAGGAGTTCTTTAAGGTTTTATCCTTGGCCCTATACTTTTTATAATTTACATTAATGATCTCCCAGAAGTTCTCACATCTAAGGTGGCATTGTTCAATGATGATACTACCATCTATTCATGTCTTATTAAGAAGCCAACACTCTTTGATTGCTCTGACAGGCCATTTGAGGAAAGGATCTCACTTTTGTTAAAGCATGGGCTCTTAGTTGTTGGTGAACTTTAACTTCAGCTAATTGTTATCGCAATAACCTAGATCCTCCTATATTTATGAACAGTAATGTACTCAATGTCATCTACCTTTCATCCTCTAGGATTAACTCTTACTTCTGATCATTCTTGGAAACCATATATCAGATCCATCGCAAAACTAGCATCTGCTAAGGTTGCATCTCTTTATCTTAATTGCCACTTTAGATTCTCTTTACAAATCTCAAATCCATCATGGAATACTGTTACCATATTTAAAGTGGATCTTCAAATAAAGCCCTTCCTTTTTTAGACAAAGGGAAAAAAAAGGTATTGTAAACATAGTTGGACCTGCTCATGCAGCTGGTTGGGTTAAACCATCGTCACATAATTGTAATGTTGCTTTTCTTTCTCTTTTCTATAAATGCTATAATGGATACTGCTTTTAAGCGCTAGCCTTTCTGTGCCATCTACTAAAATTTATTCTTGTGTATGTATATATATGGACTGGTTCTTATAGTGATGCTCTTTCTCTTTTAGACAAGGTCCAAAAATGCATTGTGAACATATACAGTACATGCAAAGCTTGAACCTTTTTCCCATCATCGTAAAGTTACATCTCTTTTCTACAAATATTATCATGGTCACTGGTTAAAGGAGCTATCAGCTCTAGTTCCATCAATCAAAACTCATTCTGGCTTGATATTCAGGTTTAACATTCAGTCAGTCACATTCTTTTAGTGTATCTGTCACTGCATGCTCGAAAACTCTTATTTGTCTATTTTTTTGACCCACACTTCAACTTTTTGACTTTGCTCTTCAATTCTTTGTACTTCAACTCTTTGCGACCTTCATGTTTTTCTGACTCAAACAACCTACAACTTTTTAAGTCTACTTTCAAATGCTTCTGTGCCCTTTAACTTTACTTTTTGTTTTATAGTAATTCTTAACTAAATAGTGGTTGCTTGCAGCCTTGTTGAGAGTGAATCAGAACAAATAAATAAAAAAAACTTGTTGATTATACAGAAATCTAATTACGCACTTCTAATTATTTACTCACAAGAGATTGTAAGTTACAAATAAGATCTATTTACTGGAGATTGGGTATTAAAACATTTTTAAGATAATCATATGCTTTTCATTTATATATTGTTCTCATTACTAATGCAATTATATGAAAGCTGTTTTTAATGTTCTTAGAAAAACTTTAAACATTAAAAATACCAGAATATTCTTTCTACCACCCACCAAAAAATCAGGTTAACAATACCACTGATGTAGACTCTAGGGAATGGTGATATTTTGTTAACACCATAGACAGTGGCACCTGTGCCAATTTTTTTTTTAACATTATTTAAGAGTTTACTGCACTTTACCTTAGCTTTATTCCAAATAGTAATATATTAAACAGTGTTCATTTTTGAACTTAATAATTATTATAATTTAATTTTCATTATAATTTAATTTCTATAAAAATTTTTATTGTTAATTAGTGTTTACAGAACATAAAAGAGATTTTACCCAATAGAAATTGTTTTCTTAAATTTATTAACTTGAAAAATAATAAGTTTAAAAGTACCATCGCTAGATATTTGTTCCTTTGTTGTTGATATTTGTTTGTCGCATCTCAATGTGGTATCGAAGACAAGATCACCTAATGTAAACAAAAAGGTTGACTTCAAAACTCAAAATAATAATTTTAATAATAACAAAAAAGTTTTAATTTAATATTAAAAAAAAAGGAAAAAAACAAATTATTATTACTTTCAAGTGGAATGTTACTGTCAGATGAAGTCAACAATCTGAAAAAAGAAAGCATGGTGTGAAATAAAATGTTTTATTTTTTTAATTTAAAAGAATGTAAACAAAACAAAAATTTAATGGTAAATACTTGGATATAAAAGTTATTCCTTATACAACTTTTTTAATTCTAATTTGTTTCCAACAAGACTGCAAGCAAGGCCTGTCAACTCCTAATAAATTTATGTTATTTTATTCGCAAAAAAGTATTAAAGGATGTCTTGCAGGACCAAATAATCATAACAGTAAGCAATTCTCAGTGAAATATTTTTACCAAAGAGCTTCCCATAAAAAGACTTCTTTTTTATAAATTTTTATTTTAATTTTTTAAATTTTTTTCACAACATGGCTAATATAACATTTATATATCATTAGGGTTTCTAAAATAAAAAAATCAAATTTGAAAATCTGCGGTGTTCTTCAAATGTATTTAAATCCAATATCCATTAAATCTATTCAATATCCATTAACTAATTTTTTAAAAATTCTTGAGCATTTAAAATTTAAAATTCTAATCCAATATTTGTTAAGCCTAAGCAGTTTCACATTCAAAACAATTTTTAATTATGTGTACACACTGATATTTCTTAGTAAAATTAAACATAATTTACAAATATACAAATTGTATATACTAAATTGTATAAACTATAGTATATACTTGTATATACTATATTGTATATAATAATATAAATTGTATATTGTATATACTATATTGTATATATTTCCTAAATATGACTATTATGACTATAAATCTACAATTATTTAGAATAAATTATAACGTAACTTTAATTGGTAATAAATAAACCTTACAAGTTAATTTGTATAGACAAAACATAAAAGGTAAATAATTCTTTCAGTTAGTTTTAATTTTGTGAGTTCCTAAAAAAAAGATAAAAAATATGGAACAATTTTTAATAAGCAGATTATAAAATATGCGAAACAATGATTTAAAACAGCAATGGCTCTACTGGTGCAATGATTTAATCACATTACAACGATTTATAGAACTTTATTAATCAGTTATCCAATATCTGGTGGTTTTCAAAAACCAAATCTGGCAGATATAAAATACCAGATTTTCTGGTGTTTGATATCCACTCGAAACTCTATATATCATCTAACATTAATATGTTAATTCAGATAAAATCTAATATAAAATTAAAATGTTTTGCATGTCTTTTTAATCAGAACCCATTGTATCCATTTTATATTAGTTTAAATACTTTAGATGCTAAATAATTAGTTGATACCAAAAGAAAAAGCAACAATTATAAATAAGAAATATCTTGTTTCAAGAAATAGCTTTAAAATAAAATCAAGCATATGGCAGCTAACTTTTTTTGACATACTTTCATGGCACCAGATCTTGATTAAAAAACCTTATAAAATAAGATATTTTCATATAAACAATGTTTCTGATTAAACATTCTTCCGCATGAAAGGCGTGATCAACATGTTCATCATAAAGAAATGCAAAATTGCAATTGTTTTTTATTACTTTAATAATTTGTTGTATAATACTTATTTTAGTAAATAAAAGTTTTATTTGCGTTATAAAAACAGTTTTCATTTCATGAAGTGTTTTGTAAAAAAGAATCAGTATTAAATAAGTTACTTTCATAGGGTGTCACACTAGAAAGAGTTTGTACAAAATTTTGACAAATTTGAACTTTCTTTATCAAATTATCTGGAATTAATTTCAAAACCTGTATGGTTTTGAAATCAATATAGCCATGCAGATTTTGAAATATAATATTTACTTGAATGGCTAATATCCTGGATCTAAATGACAATCTTTCAATTTTGGCACAAGTTAAATAGGATTAACCTTGTCCAAATTATAAAGTTTTAGCAGATGCTTCCACAATATTATTTTACTATCAGATAAAAAATTGTGTTTTTTTTAAATTTGTTTCCAACACTTTTAAAAAGATAATGTGTATCAAAGATTATATATAATTTTGCTCGTGTTTTTGGATGTAAAATTTGTTGATTTACAGGGTTATTCATTATTACATGCTCGTCTATTCATTTTTATATGGGTGTTTATTCATTCTTATATGCACATTTATTTATTCTTATATGCGTACTTACTCATTCTTATATGTGTTTTAAAAAAGCACAGCTTTTTCAAAACAAATTTTTCTTGTTTCCTGGTAAATGAGGTTAATAATACTTAAGACGAAGACTTTTTACATTTGATGATGGTTTTTTTAATTTAGTATTAGGTCTTAGTTTACTTTTATTATTAAATTTATTGATTAATTAAATTATCATTTATCTAATTAATTATTTATCTAGATTTAAATTTAATCATTTATAATTATTAATACTAAAATATTTAACTTATGGATGGAAGAGAAAATAGCAGTACCAATCGTAAAACAACAAAAAATGTTACAAAAGAGCACATTATAATGCTTAAGAATTTAGTTGAAAGAAATGAATCTACAACACGCATTTCTTTTAACTTATCTAAGCTCACAGTTCAAAATCTTGTCGTTAAACAGAGGAGTATTTGACAACATGACTGCATTTAAGTCATTTTCTGATTAAAAAAAACGAGGTAAAAGACCTATAAACGCTCAAATAAAAAATATTATTGGGTTATGCGTAGAAGAAAACAATCTTTGTATGCAAGAAGTAATAAAAGAAAATCTTTCTGCATCAGGCTTCAAGATGTCTCAGTGTTGTGCAAGTGCCAGAAGAACAAAACTCAGCACAAGTTATTGATGCACGCTATGGATTTGCAAGCAAAATTAACGGAATTTCAAATGAAAAACTTGTTATTTGGATTACACTGGATTTAATGTGCACACTAACAGCACATATTGTTATTCGCTAAGAGGTGAACAATCGAATTTACAGTTATCTGCTAATTGTGGCAAGAATGTTAGTTTGATTTGTCTGTTTCAACAACTGTTAAAAGTGTTGGCTTATGAAATAAAAACTGGAGGCTGGAATGCAGATTCATTTTGTACTTTCATTACTGCAATGTTGGCACCAGCGAATAGGAATGCAGATGTGGAAGCGCCAGTGCTTGTTATGGACAATTTTAAATTCTACTGGAGTCTTTCACACTTTTAACTTCTTTAAAGCACACTTACAAACAGGGAGAGGTTTAATTAATTCCATTTTACAACTATAGGCATAGTTACATAAATTCAGCGCTGGCTCGGCAACCATTTTTTAAATAAATAGCAGTGGCAACAACCTAATTTATGTTTTAAATATATCTATATGAAAACATAAAAGCTTATTTAATGTTTATATAAAATTATATAAGAGACTTTATGGGTAGTTGACTTGCATGTAAACGTGCATATAAGAATAAATAAACACGCATATAAGAATTAATAAAAACACATATAAGAACATATAAGAATGAATAAACACGCTTATAAAAATGAATAGTCGCATATAAAAATGAATAACCCTGTAATAATGAAAATCATTAAAATTATAGAGCTCTAATATTACTTGAGCTTTAATCACAAACAAGATATCTTACGATCTTTTTTATGTAGATGAAATATAGCATTATTTATTATCTTAACTAAATTGGTTGAACACATGGTAGTATTACTGTGAAAAATGCAATTGGTTGTTTTCATTTTGTTGATAACCCTAAGACTATAAATACAAAAACTTGGTTTACTGAAAAAATGTAATTTGCCATTAGATTGAATTCCAATTATCTTGCCATTGTTTTTGTTCAAGATATTGCAATATATGATTCTCAAAGCGAAAACTTTATCTTTAAAAGTCTAAAGTTTTCCTTGTTTAACACAATTATTCATGCACAATTGACTTTCAAAAAATTAAAGTTGGGTGTTAGTTAAAATATTTTTATAAATTAATATGTTCTATTGAACCATCAGAATTTTTCAACATCTTATGCTTAATCTTTAGATTCAAATCCTAACTTGAGATGATAAATACTTATTTTTAAAAGTGTTTTTTTTTTATTTGTTTTTTGTATTTTATCCTGTAAGTCTGTTTGTTGGCTGTTTTTTCTTTAAATTTAACTTAGAAGGTTGATTTGGAAAGTTAAAAACTGTTGGTACAGCAGTTACAAGTGATCTTTACCACCATTATTGGCAAAACAGTATTGGGAAGATTGGCAAAATAGTATTGGGAAGATAAGATTAAGTTCTTCACATGATTTTGTATTGAGATCTTGACATTGACAATTACAAACCCAAATCTAAATAATAGTTGAAACTTAATTAATTTAGTAGAATTATTTACATCATATTATGTAAAATATTTTGTATGTATATATAAATGTGTTATATGTATAATATGTATATATGTATAAATGTATTGTATGAATAAATAATTTTTACTTCATAAAATTTAAAGTAACTATCAATTTTAAAACAGTGTTTTAAAATTTTTGCTTCTTTAAATTCTTAAAACACTAGTTATTTATTTTTATCTTGATTTGATTAATAATTACTTACCTATCTTTATCCTTTAGAAATCTAAAAATGATATATTATTTTCAACATTCTTTCCAGGCTTGTTTGCGCAACTGATGGCTGAGCAAATGGCTGATGAAAAAAAGATGGCTGGCATATTTAATATTATGAGTATTTAGAGAAAAAAAGACTTTGTTCTTGAAAAGCAAAAGCCAATATTGTAAAAATTATATTTATAGACAACAAGGTGTATAATAAATTTATAATATTGTTTATAATATGGTCCTGTAAGACATCCCATAATCCAATATATGGTCAATTACACATAAATATATGGATTTTTAGCTGAGTTGGCAGGCATTGGCTGCAAGCAACCAATATTAAGTTGGGAGTTACAAGAAAACAAAGAGTCAAAGAGGAAACAATTGACAGAAGACAACCGTTGAAATGTTAATCATTGTATTTAATTAGTCTGGAAACACGTCTGTTTTCTCTAGATTTAGTAAAATAACTTGAACTTTATGGGGTGACCAACTGAGAATGCATCAAATATTTTTTAAATGACTTTTTCTAGCACAGGCTTTGATAATTTAAATGGATTCAATGCTGTTTTAGCTGCTATTGAGTTTCTCTTTGTTGAAAACATACCTCAATTTTAGTTGAAATATTAGGTTGCAAAATTTATTTTATGAAAACCAAAGAGAACAAAGTATATTTATGTCTTTGTTTTGCAGGAAACAATAAATATAGCAAATTGAATTGTCACCAAACACAAGGACAAAATAAACAATACTGATAAACAATTTAGTAAAGAATAAAATAAAGCAAAAGTTTTATATTATTAGTTTCAAAAGTACTGATAAACAATTTAGTAAAGAATAAAATAAAGCAAAAGTTTTATATTATTAGTTTCAAAAGTATCAAAAGTTAAAAAAATCAAGTATAAATATTTCAAGTATTTCAAGAATAAGTCATTACAGCTTAATCTCTTGTCTAAAAAATGTAACTAATTCATTCGATGGAAATGCTGAAATTTTTTATTGCAGATTCTACAAAATATTTCCTGAAACAGCAAGTTTTTTTATAACTTTGGCCAAAATTGTACTTTTCAACAAAAGCTTTTCAACAAGTTTTGACAAACAAAGCACGTTCAATTACGCTTACAATGCATTTTTGGACCTTGTCTAGAAAAGAAAGAGCATCATAAAAAGAACCAACCCATATATGATATATGAAAAGTATTTCAAACAGGGACAAAAAGAAATTTGTAGAGAATAGAATCAGGAGTAATATAATGGCTAGCACTATAAATAGAAGCAACCGTAGCAACCGTAGCAGATGCTAACTTTGTATATATGGTTTCCGCGAGAGGTCAGTAGTAAACGATAATCTAAGAATAGATACAATAAATGATAATCCAAGAATAGGTAAAATAATCCAAGTAAAAAGATTGCCGTTCATTAATATAGGAAAGTCAGCGGTATTGAAATAGATGTTGGCAGTAAATAACGAATTAATAATATAAGTTAAAATATATACTCCTTATTGGAGTTAAAATTCCCAAGTCACTGCAACCCCGAATCTGTTACAGAAGAGAGATCAAATTCAAGATTGCTTCCTGTTCCAAGCGATCAAAATAGAAAGACTTTTTGACAAGAGTATAAATTGTTTATCCGCCTTGTTCATCAAGGTTTGTGCTTTGCAGTTATAGAGTTAAGAGAGGGTTGAAATCACTATTAAAGTAGCCTCCTCGACTGTAATGACCTTCTTGGCATCGAGGAGGTGAATTAACGTTACAAAAAATAATAATAATAAGGAGCTTCAAAACAATGCAGGTAGGGGAACAATTTTTATTGTTTTCGAAGAAAATCTGAATTCCTTTTTATTATTATTTTTTTTTGGACATGTGCCAAAAATATAAAGTTAATGAACCACTGCAAAAATGCACTAAAACATTTTATGAATGCTGATAAATTTTTTTTATATATAATATTACACATGCTATTGAAGAAACAATCATGATAAAAAATTTAATAAACCAAGCTATTTATGAAAAATCAGAATTTTTTAAAGTAACTTAATTAACCTTTCATGTGTAAACTTTAAGGTGTAAACTATATAAAATATAACTATATAAATAAATCTGTAAAATATAAAATATGAAATAAAACTATACAAAAAAGGCAAAAGATTATAAAAAATAAAAATATGAAAATAAAAAATAAAAAAATGGTACAAATGGCATTGATGAAACTTACTTGTTGCATAATTGACATATACTGATTCTAACTTTGGCAGTAGAGTCTATATATTTCTGTAAAACAAACATATAATTAGATAAAGACTTATCTATTAAAATAAAAAAAAGCACAAAAATAGATTAAGTACCAAAGGTTTGCTTGAATGAACTTGTACTCCCTCACTAATAAGTTCTGAGTTATTTTCTATGTGAAGATTGTTCCAAATTTTGCAAAAAATATAGAACACATTTTTAAGAGCAAAATATTAAAACTTATAATATATATATATATATATATATATATATATATATATATATATATATATATATATATATATATATATATATATATATATATATATATATATATATATATATATATATATATATATATATATATACTGTATATATATATATATATATATATATATATATATATATATATATATACTGTATATATATATATATATATATATATATATATATATATATATATATATATATATATATATATATATATATATATATATATATATATATATATATATATATATATATATATATATATATATATATATATATATATATATATATATACAGTATGTGCCAAAATTGTCACCATGTTTGAACAAAAAAATATTTTATATATATTTTATTAGAAAAGCTGTGAAAAAAAATGAAATTTTTCTTAGCTAACTAAAAATACTGCGTTTTGTTAAATTTAGAAAACATTGAATTTTTTTTTTTAATTTTTATGTGAAAAGCTAATGGTGACAATTTTGTCGCGAATGAAAGCAATTAACATATTTGCCCACAGTTAATTAGCCTTATGACTAAAATGATTGAGTTATCAACTTTTCACAGATTTTTAACATTCATTTAAAGTTTGATTTTGTTTACAAAACATAAAAAAAAAGTATTGTTATTATCATCATGAGGAAAATAAATCTTGAACTAGAAAAAAATATTATGGAAAGGCTTAAATCTGGACAATCTTATTGTGAAACCGCTGCTGAGTTCGGAAAGTCTCATAATCTCATATATAAAATTAAATTGCACTATAATTTAGAAGTAAATAAGCCTAAAAGTGGTTAAAGAAAAATTTTTATATCAAAAGACCAAAGAACAATCGCTCGTTTAATTGCTTCTGGAGAGTCTAAAACTGCAAAGGATGCTACTAATTCAATGAATAACAGCTATGGGACTCATGCTTCAGTGCGGACAGTCAATAGAGAGCTCAAAAGAATTGGTTTTCAATCCAGAAGGAAGATCAAGAAGTCCCTGTTAGTTTCTCATCACTGCCAAGCTCGTTTAAATTTTACTAAACTTCATGCACACATGACTTTTGATGACTTTTATGACTGGATTTGGACAGAGGAAAGTAAAACTAATATGTTTGTATCAGATGGTATATACTTGGAGAAAGCCTAATTCATCATTAAGTGCTTGAGATTTTACGCCAGCCGTTAAATATGGCGGAGGAAAACTCTTGTTTTGGGGATGTTTCTATGCTCATGGAGTCGGTGAATTAGTGAAAGTTAATGGAATAATGAACGCTGATGACTATATCGACATCCTCAAGGTCAGATAAGTCTCTCCAAAAACTGAATGTAACACGATTTTCATGCAAGACAATGACCCTTAGCATAAGGCTGATAAAACCATTAAATTACTTCACGAGAAAAAATTGAAAGTTGTTGACTGGCCAGCACAAAGCCCTGATCTTAACCCACTTGAAAATTTATGGACTATTGCCCATAACTATTTAACTATTGTTAAACAACAGGTCTACAACTTTCCTACTCCACCTAAGAATAAGGATGAACTTTGGACTCGTGAACTAGAGGTTTGGTACTCAATTACACCCGAGGAATGCCGTAAATCGGTTGCTAGTGTTCCTGAAAGAATTCAGGCTGTAATAAAATCTAAGGTACGATACACTAGATATTAATTTACAACAATATGTTATTTGCTTTCATTTGCGACAAAATTGTCACCATTAGCTCTTCACATAAAAATTAAAAAAAAAAATTCAATAACCCATAAATTTAATAAAAAGCAATATTTTCAGTTAGCTGAGTCTTAAATTTTATTAATAAAACTAAAATTTTATTTTTCTTCACAGCTTTTCTAATAAAATATGTAAAATATTTTTTGTTCAAACATGGTGGCAATTTTAGCACATACTGTATGTATATATATATATATATATATATATATATATATATATATATATATATATATATATATATATATATACATATATATACATATATATATATATATATATATATATATATACATATATATATATATATATATATATATATACATACATATATATATATATATATATATATATATATATATGTATATATATATATATATATATATATATATATATATATATATATATATATATATATATATATATATACATACATACAAACATACTATATATATTATATATTATGAATATAAATAAAACACAACAAATATAAAAAAAATAACAAGAAACTGAATAAAATTACCAATTATTTCCTCATCTAATGCTATAAAAGAATGTTTGTCATCCTGTGTTTCTTTAGAAAGTAATGCCTGGAATAATGTTAACTGAACATTGCACATTTTTTTAATACATAAATAATAAAATTGATTTTTGCATATGCTTTCTTTAGAATGTTGTGATGCGTATGCATCTTTTTTATATTTATAAACAAATTAATAATTTTGATAAGCAAAAACAAAATATTTTATTATAGATTTTATAATTTTAAACTACTGTATGTATATATATATATATATATATATATATATATATATATATATATATATATATATATATATATAAATTATAAATAAAACTTGTAATTGCTCTGTTCTTTTAAGAACATTGAGCACTCTTTTTGTAGAATACATTTTAAATTGTTTAAAATGTATTCTATATATATATATATATAATATATATATATATATATATATATATATATATATATATATATATATATAATATATATATATATATATATATATATATATATATATATATATATATATATATATATATATATATATATATATATATATATATATATATATATATATATATATATATATATATATATATATATATCAGCTATAGTGTACATAGATAACATTTTAATAACACTTTTGTGTAATCAATATATGTATTAAAGCCCCTAGCAGCAATCTATTTCAGTATATCAGACTGCTTATCAAAGTATATATACATCAGGGCTCGAATTAATGCAAAAAAAATCTAATTGCGTTTAAAAAAAAAAAAATTTTTTTTTGCCCACACACACCCCCTCACACCTTGCGCCACTTTACCGAAATGGAATGGGGGGGGGGGGGGCTTGCAATAGTATAAAATTGTATATTTTGTACGTAATTGTTATTTTTTTAACATATTATCTCTCATATTTATATATTTTCTTATAGTTTTCTCGTTTGGCGGAGTTTAAAATTGCGTAAGTTGCTGTTAAAATTTACAGCTTAATTTATAATTTATATATAATTATTATCGGCCTATAATGAATAGCAGAATGAATATTATTATTAATGCGCATAGTTACGCGTATTGTTTTATAGTTACGGTACAGTTCTGTATCTGTAAAATACACTTTTTAAGTAGTTTCTAGACTTTTCTTTACCGCGTGCTTTCTTAAAGATTTCCTTTCAACCTTTCATGGTATGAGTTCAAAATGTCCAAGTTGACATTAAGTAGATAATGTTTAGTAGCTTAAAATTATAGGTAATCTAAAATTTTTTTTTAAATTTAAAAGTAATTAATTTGTTGCAATATTTTTTAAATTGTAATTTTAAATTTAAAGCTTCGTGTTATAGATTACTTTAATTCTTAGATTGTGTCTAGCGTTAAAATATATTTATGGGTAGTTTCCTGCTTTCACATAGTTTTGATTATTGGGATAAAAGCCATGACAACATTTTGTTATAAATTTATCTTAATTTAATTTTTATTGAAAATTTTGTTATAAATAAAATTTATCTTTAATATTGTAAATACTTTTGCTCTTTGAAAAAAAATATGTTTCTGGCTCTTCAATAAATATAAAATAATTTGTCTTGCATGAATGAATTTTGGTTTAGGATTTAATTGTGTTATTTATGTTTGTCTATCTGTAATTTATTTAGGTTATTAGAAAATTCATGTTTACAGAGTTGTTATTAATCATAATCGAGTTGTTAAACCAAGGAAATTGTGGAGGTTTATTTATCATATATACTATATATATTATATAATTATATTGGAGGGAGTAAGTTTAAAAGCATTTTAAATTTTTAAAAAGAAATAAAAATACTTTTCAATATATATCTGTTTTCTTTGAGGTAGAATTAAAGTTTCAGTTTTTTAAAACTTTAAATTAACTTTACAATATTAAAATGGTTTAAACGAACTTAAACGAATTTTTGTAAATGAATTTAATCCTCAAAGATTAAATTTTTTTTTATTATATAAGAAATTGAAATAGATTTAAGAATGATTCGACTTAAATGTTTGTTTGTTTTTCTATTTAGATGATGACAATATTGAAGCAAGTAAGTTAAAAAGCATTTTTAAATTTTTAAAAAGAAATAAAAATACTTTTCAATATATATCTATTTTCTTTGAGGTAGATTTAAAGTTTCAGGTTTTTAAAATCATATATATTTTAAAATCATATATATAAATCATATATCTTTGTTTTTCTATTTAGACGTTGGTAATAATATTGAAACAAGTAAGTTATAAAGCATTTTTAAATTTTTAAAAAGAAATAAAAATACTTTTCAATATATATCTGTTTTCTTCGAGGTAGATTTAAAATTTCAGGTTTTTAAAATCATATATATTATAATATTAAATTCTTTTTTACTTTAAAAATATCTATATTATAGTTACACTGAGTCGTAGAAAAAAAATTAAAGTTTCTTAATAAGGTAGTAGATTATTAGAGTAGATTAAATTGTTTGATCTATTAATCAACTTAATAACGTACTATTAAAGTGAAGATTTATTTTGGTTGTTTGTTTGTTAAAATTTAGTTAGAGTTTATTTAAAATTTAAATTCTTTAGTTAATCAAGAGAGATCTAATGAAGGTATTAATTACATTAGTTAAATGTGGCATTTAATATGTATTTTATCAATATTTTAACGTCTAAACATAAAAGTGCTTTTATTGTTTAGATACAGAAGTGAAGAAGGAAATAAGTCAGTGTTTTTGCTACTAGATATTTGTTAATAGGAATTTGTTTATTTGTACTGCCACTGGAATTTTAAAAAATCAAGTTCTTTAGCTTTATTTTATACTTTCTTTTAGGGGAGTTGGAACAAAAACTAAGTATAAATTATGATTAGTTTAGTTTAATAAATAAAGCATTAATATTTAGAAGATTTAAAGTTTACTTTAGTTTATAGATTTGGTTTAGTTTATAGTTTTGTTTTTAGCTTTAGTTATTTTTTTCTTACTTTAGACAACTTTATGGATGAAATGAGGGGGATGGGTAAAACAATTATTTAGATATGTATATATTTATATGTTAATATTATTTTATTGATTATTTTATATTTATTTAGGTATATATTTGTCTTTAGTGTCTGGTGTAAGTATAGCTGGTAGGGCTGTGTTTTATATTTTATATGTTTTGTATGGAGAAATATGTGCAATAGGTGGAAAAATTAATTAATAAATATGACACTTTTGAACTGGTTGCATTATTGCACTATATTTTTATTAAAATACAAAATGTTGCATGTTTAACCCTTATTAATTTGCTCTCTCTCTTTTTTTTTTCTAGCATCTGTTTCGAATGAAAATGGTGAGGTTATGCTAATTTTTTTTTTTAATAATTGCAAATGTATAATTTTTATTATATTCTTCTATTTGTAACTTGAGATTCCTTATAATTCGAAGAATACAAAAATTATCGCTCCCAACACCCGGGACCTCTCTCAGAGAGGTCCTTCAAAAAATGGAAAGATCATGGCGAAATGGATGAGCCCTCTTTTAAATGGAGAGCTCATCCATACCGGGGTGTTGGGAGACCGAAGAAAAAACAGCAACCAAAAGGTTGTAGATGTCTTCTATCAGTAGAGATATTTATGACTTTTTAGCTGCTGCTTTTTCTTCAGGTTTTTTTTTTTTTAATTTTTTAATTCGGTTTTTTTTTTTTAATTTTGTAATTTTTTTTTTTTTAAATATATATTATGTTGTATATTTGATTTGTTTTGATCTTTTTTAATGAAAATTTTAATTGTTTTCTCACCAATTAAACCTGACTTCAATTTTAAAGCACTCTTAAATACCCCTCCCTAAAATCTAAAGTTTAAAGTTGAATTGATTCATTATCCAATTATTATAATATAATGATGCTGCATTCTTTTGTTAGAAACAATTATTTGGTATGTTTCATTTATTGAACTCACTGCTTTTAAAATTTACCAAAACCCAAGGCAATATATTTAGCTATATAAATACAATTTATTTATCTTGATTCCATTCTTCATCTTTTATGTTTATAGTTTGGCTCCTTGAAGCATTTTATGTTTTGCTTTTTTTATTATGAGTATTTTAAATCCGTTGTGATGTCTTTTATATTAAACTAAAATTTACTAAAAGCCAACATAAAAATTACGTTTTTGAACAACACCAAAAAGAAACAGTTGCATCCTTACAGCAACTGCTGCAGTATCACAATAGGTTACCAAAAGCAGGTATACTGTTTTCCAGTTGTTTTTTTTTCATATATATCTACTTATCTATATAATACTATATTACGATTGTTTATATCTCATTCATTTTTTTTTTATCTTTATCTTTAAGTATTAATAATTTTATTCTTTGAATGAGATTAGTTAAACAAGTCGGCTTCCCATTGAAGATATTGGTTTCAAAATTAAACACCATTTGCAAAATGCTTACAAAATTAGGTAGTTTTTAAAAATCTGTTTTCTATTTAATACACTTTTTTTTAAATATACTTTTTAAATATACTTTTTAAATATACTTTTTTAATATACTTTTCTATAACAATCCTACTAATATGGAATCACGTAGCTTTTTAAATATGTTAAATTGTCGTCCCTATCGGTAATAAATATTTTAAATTATTTGATATGGTTTTCTTTACAATAGGCTATGCTTGGCTCCTCGGTGCTGTAAATGGTGGCTTCAACTTTGTTTTTTAAGAAAAATGTGTTTTATATATGCTTCTGTTTTAAAATATTTTTGTTACATATTTAACTATCATGTAAATAAATTTCTTTTAAAGATATGTAAACTTGATACTTGCTTTTTTACGGATTTTCAAAAAGTGAACAAAGGTTTAAATATATTTTTTAATTGTCTTATATGATTTTATCAATTTTATTAAAGCTGAATAATTACTTCAACAATATTGAGTAAAATCCAATTGCTTTTATTATTAACCTGATCTATACAAAAATTAATGAAATAAAACTAATAATTTTAACGCCAAGTTAAGGCAAAATGTATTCCGGACATTTTATAAAATTAGTATAAATATGGATTGGATGTATGCTGAAATAAATATATTGATACACGTTAGCTATTAA